TTCTCCTATATCGGTAAGTAAAGAACCAATAGTGTTCAGTTTTGTTGCTAAATCAGGATGATTGGCGGGAAGCACAACTCGACTGATTTCGAGATTTTTTTCATGGCATTCCAGTGCTTTTGGAAAGTTTTCCATGCTATCATATAAAATACCAAGATTATTATATAGGACAGCCAAATTCGAATGATTCGGTGGAAGTGATATCTTGTACACATCCAATGACTTTTCGTAGAATTCCAAAGCTTTTGAATAATCTTCCATTCTTTTATAGATGGTTCCAATGTTGCTGTATGTATTACTGATACTTGGATGATGTGAAGGTAAAGTTTCTTTCTTGATATCTAGAGCTTGATAATAGCACTCCAATGCTTTTGGATAATCGTCCATTATGTCATACATAGATCCTATATTGTTGAGACTAATAGCCAATTCCGGATGATTCGATGGAAGAGTTTTCTTGTTAATTTCAAAACCTTTTTGATAATACTCCATTGCTTTCTCATGCTCGCAAAGATTGTCATAGGCTGATCCCATGTTATTATACGTTTGTGCAAAACTAGGATGATCGTGAGGAAGTAATCGCTGACGAATTGCAAGAGATTTCTCAAAAAATTCAAGCGCTTTCGAATATTCACGTAATTGATCGTAAGCCGCTCCCATGTTCCCGTAGACACTTGCTAAATCAGGATGATCATTGTTGGGATATACTTTGTAACAGACATCACGAGCTTTTTCGTAGTACTTCAGTGCTTCACTGTAGTTCCCCATAGTGTCGAAGAGCGTAGCGATATTATTGTAAGTTCCAAAACGTTCGTGATGGTTTGGCAGAAGCGATTTTTCTTGAACTGCTAGTGTTTTCTGGTAGAATTCTAATGCGTTTGTAAGTTTTCCTGCTTTTTCATATATGATAGCAATATTTCGATGAATCACAGCTAGACTTGGATGATTTGATGGTAAAATTTTTTGTCTGATCATCAATGACTTTTCATAAAATTCCAGAGCTTTTGAATTATCCTCCAGTGAATTATACACTGTACCTATATTGTTATAGAGCGTGCCCAAAGCAGAATCATCTGGAGAAAGAGTTTTATGATAAATCTCTGAAGTCTTCTCGTACATCGAGAGAGCTTTATGATAGTCTCCAAGTTTATAATACACCCCACCAATATTGCTGTAACTAGAAGCCAAAGCAATATCACCTTCCGAAAACGTTTTAAGGTGCAATTCAACTGCTTGCTGATAGAGATTAAGAGCTTCCGTATAATTACCTGTACCATTTGATACCATACCCAACTGATGGTAGCAATTCGCCAATCCTTCATAATCATCGCTCGATAGTGAGTCCATCAACGTTAAATACACTTCCTTAGCTTCACTGAAATGTCCCACTTGGATAAGCAGTTGTCCCAACCGACTCCATCCTGTACTTCCTGATGTCTCTTTTTCGAGCTGTTCTCCGAGTACTTGTAGGTCGCGATCTTCGTCATTCGTTAACACGAGTTTCACTCGCCAAAGAACATCGTCCACCTGCTCCATACTTTCAATTCGAAACACACTGTGCATCGAAAACAACACTTCACCCTCAGAATCCTCATAGTAACTCATACTGCTCACCAAAGCGAACGGCGTCGACTTCACCGCTTGATTAATCTTCATTACGAACAGCACAGGAACTGTATCCGGATCCTGGGAAAGCATCGGACAGAATGTGAGAGCTGTTTCTCTCTCTACACTCGTTGACGTGAATGCATTGAACGACAACAGACCACCCACACTTTTACGAATATTCTCGAACTCACTTTTCATGACGCCCTGTCCTCGATATAACACTCCAGGACTCCAAACTGCAGACTGAAATGTATAGAGTTCGTTGAGTTGTTGATGCAGATCGTACAAAAAGAAGCTCATTTTGATGATGATGTTACTATCCATGAGCCGAAGAGCTTGATTGAGCATTTGGAAAAGGAAACAGCCTCTTGTGTACCACCGAATTGCTGAGTCAGGCTTATAGTTTTGTTCGAATTCGTCAACGATGCTTAGTTGGACTGGCTCAGCTTGATATTGCTCACGTAGAAACTGAACAAATCGTTCTTTTGTGTGTAGATGACGATCGATATCGAACAAGATTTGTTTGAGCAATCGAGAATACATGAACAATGGCTCCAATTCATTGAGATCATATTTTGAACAGTCGGTGGGTGAGATGACACTGATTGGAACTGAGTCATGATCATATTGTTTTGTCTTTTGATTGATCGATTGACAGATGTGAACAATTGTACGAAAATATCCTTTCAATTTAGGTGTAACGTCGTTGAGTTGTTGAGAAGGTGGTATTGCATCATTGCAAAGAACATAAATGGAATAGAGCTGAGGTATGTCGTGAACGAGAGGGATGAGCTGCTGTGCGAGTGGATATGGTAGTATGATGAATACTTTGGTGTGTTGTAAATCTGTACAAAAATCGATGCATTGGTCAGGATCGTTGTGTAGCTCGATGGTATCTATGATTTCTGATGTTTGTGTGAGTAAATATTTATATTCGTCGTTATCTATATTCATATTCGGATCCAACCAAAGCAGAATAACGTTTCGAAGAACACGGCGACGTTGGACATCACGTGACATAATTGTTTGATTGATTTCTGAAAGTTTCAAATTCTCGGCAAATTTTTCAACAGAGAATGTACTCCCATTGATTGAAAAGTAGTGAAGTGAATAAAGAGCAGACTATTTACTCCATAAAAACGGCGAGATAATAATTTTTCTTCTTCTATTCGATAAAAAAGACGCAATATTGTGTAGTCACCTTCAGAGGAAACAATCTCGTTTGTCAATTGAAAAATACCCACTGTTATCAGAATAAATACCGCGTGTTTTTGTATTGACATTGCCCTATCATGTAAAGTACCACAAGGAGTCGTCATCAAACAAAAGAATCGCAGAATTAATAAAGTTGCATTTGAAGACAAGATCGTTGTAATTTCTTCATTGAGAAACCCAATATCTACCATCTTTTACAATGAATGAGCTCGTGATGATCATTCACAAGAGGAAATAAATTAGTTCAATTCAACTCATAATAAGCCAATCATAGGAATAGTCTGATTGAACAATGAGTATAAGTGTGATGTCGCCGAAAACGAACTGAATACTTTACGAAATTCGATGTTCCGTAGTTCTATAATTAAAAATCTGAAAGAACACAATTTGTTCGCTACATCATAGTGGTCACTCTAAATCCTCATCTGTCAGCAATCGATTGATTCGAACGAAATTTCCTATTTGTTCGTACGTTTACTTCTCATTTCATAAACTCCATTCGTTCTTTACCCAAAATACTGTCTAACGAAGGAAATGAATATGTGGAACAGAAGAAAATTCGAAATATTTCCAAACGAAGTAGTTTTTCAATGTTTCTGATATTTAAACGCCGTTGAAATATTCTCTTCGTTGAACGGATTAAACCATCGTGTTAGTCAATATATTAGCGGCGTTCCATTAAATATGAATTTTCGGAGAGTAAGCAAATGTCTTTTTTCGATGAAGAGTATCAGATAGTTTTATCAGATCCGGAAATCGAACAAAATATTTGTCGGTTACAACTATCAAATGAAGGTACTTACGGCCAAATGCGTTCATTCTTCTCAATTGATCGATGTTGTTGACGAGATTGCTGAACAAATACAACCAATGCATCGATGTTTTTCGGACTTGTCTTACATTTCTTGCATTCTCAACAAAAACGAAAACTTGATTGGTATACCGTTTCCGCCGTGTCCGAATCGAACATGCGAATATTAAAAATGTCATATTTCTATATTAACTTAACATAGCCTGACACGAACAATCAATTGCATTATTATTTCCATGGCGAATTTATGTCAATTATTGATATGTCTACCAATGTTAAAATATTTATAAATTCAAACTCTTTTTAATTATCCAGATAAACTTCATAGATTGAATTTTCGCAGCACCGAAGCGCGTCATTTGAAACAGCTGATTTTAGGTGTTTACGAGTTGAGTATGTGTGACATGCAAACTTTATTTAAACATCTACGGTACTTGGAAATCTTATCATTATCTACTTCATTGACACACCGGTGTGTTCACAGCAAACTATGGCAATGTCCTATTAAATCATTATTAGCGCACCTATGGAAATACATTTTTAGCTTTAGCCTCATTGTTTCTAGTAATAAGAATATTTTATCATAGTTTCAAGCATTTCGAAGCTATTTCAAGTGTTAGCAATGTCTTTGCTATACAAATTGCGAAATCGAAGGTAGAACAGGAGTGATTTACATTTCCCTGTACACGTATAAAGAGATATGCGAATTCAATGATGGATTATCTGAATCACTTCGACAATGTGAAAAATCAATGTAACAGAATTCACCATGTTTCGTTCGAAACGTTCAGATTTTATATTTACAAAATCGATCGGGCATCGGACAGCGATGAGATAACTGATGAATACGAAATACAACAATTCAAATAACTTCATGTGATTATCAATGTATCAAATATCAAAGCTTTGGAAATTGAATATTTGGTATCATCGTCGAGGTACTACAAAGGTTGCAAAATGTCTCATCTTTAAAAATTGGATCTAAACTTTTAATACCATATCTGGATAATGAACAGCTATCCGAATGTCTGAAGGAGAAGATCAGTGCAATGTGCAACATCTTCAAGATTTATTATCGATATTATGAGAATGGGTGGAATTGTTAGTCGTAAAGCTTGGAAGCACCGATGAAGAAACATTTTCATGGCTTTGAAACAATGCGTCAACATTGAAGACTTCCTTCGATTTTGAGGCAAGTTCCACTTTAGAAAGACGATGATATAGCTCATTTAAGAGAAATAAAAGATTTTTCTTTTTTTCTTTCTTACTCAATAAAAAAATAAATAATCGTAGTCCGTAATATAGTGCTTCGATTCAAAATTGATTCATTTCTTATGTATAATCAAGTCTCATCATCAAAGAGTATCTATTTTTTGAGATATTGCTTGAGAACTTGTACATTTTCTTTAAGTTCCTGTAAATCAGGATGATCTGTTGGTAGTGTCTTTTCCGCAATATCTAGTGCTTCTTGGTAGAAAGGCAAGGCTTCCGTAAACTTCTGCATGTCATAATATAGAGAACCCATGTTATTCAATGTTGCCATTAAATCAGAATGGTTTTCAGGGAGAATCTTTCGGCCAATTTCGAGACTTTTATCATAAAATTCAATTGCTTTGCCATATTCGTGCATTTCCTGATAAACTGAAGCGATATTGTTGTACGTGTTAACTAAGCTAGGATGATCGGCTTTGAGCGACTTTTGTTTGATATCAAAAGATTTTTGATGATATTCAAGGGCTTTTTCAAGCTCATGTTTGTGTGTATAGACTGTACCGATATTGTTGTAGAGCGTGGCTAGTTCAATCATTCTATCTGATGTAGTTGATTTCTGATAGATCTCCAATGATTTTCGGTACCAATTAAGAGATTCTGTATATTTTTCCATTTGATCATATAACTGACCAAGGTTGCTATAGATCACGGCTAAATCGGGATGATTCGACGGGAGCGATTGCTCACTGATATGCAATGATTTTTCATAATATTCTAAAGCTTTCGAATAATTACCTGTTCTTTCATGAATAGTTCCAATGTTGCTGTATGTACTACCGATACTTGGATGATGTGAAGGTAAAGTTTCTTTCTTGATATCTAGAGCTTGATAATAGCACTCTAATGCTTTTGGATAATCGTCCATTATATCATACATAGATCCAATGTTGTTGAGACTAATGGCCAAGTCTGGATGATTCTGTGGACGAATTCTCTTGTAAATTTCGAAAGCTTTTTGATAATATTCTAACGCTTTCGTATACTCGCCGATGTTATCATAGGCCGAGCCCATGTTATTGTACGTGTGCGCAAAATTTGGATGATCTTGAGGGAGTGATTTGTCGAAAATTTCCAACGCCTTTTCAAAGAAGTTCAACGCTTTTGAATAGTCACCTGTTTGATCATAAACCACTGCCATGTTGCGGTAGACGTTTGCCAGACTTGGATGGTGTTCGGAATGTGTTTCAAGAAAAATATCTAGACTCATTTCGTAATAATCCCGTGCTTGTGTATGGTTCCCTATTTTGTCATAAAGTGTAGCAATATTATTATAAGTTGTAGCGAGTTCAAAATGCTTTGGTGGCAGGGATTTTTTCTGGATTTGCAGCGTCTTCTCGTAGTATTCTAACGCTTTTGAGAATTCAGATAAGTTGTCATGGACACTAGCAATATTTCGATAAATTACTGTTAGACCGGGGTGATTCGGAGATGAAATTTGCTTTTTGACATCCAGTGATTTATGATACATTTCCAGAGCTTTTGCATTTATCTGCATAGCTCCGTACAGTGGGCCCATATTGTTATACAATGTAGCAAATGCAGGATCATTCGCGGGTAAATTGTCACAGTAAACTTGTGAAATATTTTCATAGATTTCGAGGGCTTTAGAATATTCGCCCATCTTGAAATGCACAACAGCAACATTGCTCTGAACAGCAGCTCTAATCACAGAATTTTCAGGAAATTGACGAGAATNAAATATTCTCTTCGTTGAACGGATTAAACCATCGTGTTAGTCAATTTATTAGTGGCGTTGCATTAAATATGAATTTTCGGTGAGTGAGCAAATGTCTTTTTTCGATGAAGAGTATCAGATAGTTTTATCAGATCCGGAAATCGAACAAAATATTTGTCGGTTACAGCTATCAAATGAAGGTACTTACGGCCAAATGCGTTCATTCTTCTCAATTGATCGATGTTGTTGACGAGATTGCTGAACAAATACAACCAATGCATCGATGTTTTTCGAACTTGTCTTACATTTCTTGCATTCTCGACAAAAACGAAAACTTGATTGATATACCGTTTCCGCCGTGTCCGAATCGAACATGCGAATATTAAAAATGACATATTTCTATATTAACTTAACATAGCCTGACACGAACAATCAATTGCATTATTATTCCCATGGCGAATTTATGTCAATTATTGATATGTCTACCAATGTTAAAATATTTACAAATTCAAGCTCTTTTTAATTATCCAGATAAACTTTATAGATTGAATTTTCGAAGCACAGAAGTGCGTCATTTGAAACAGTTCATTTTAGGTGTTTGCGAGTTGAGTATGCGTGATATGCAAACTTTATTTAAACATCTACGGTACTTGGAGATCGTATCATTATCTACTTCATTGACACGCCGGTATGTTGACAGCAAACTATGGCAATGTTCTATTAAATCATTATTAGCGCACCTACGGACATTCATTTTCAGCTTTAGCCTCATTGTTCCTAGTAATAAGAATATTTTATCATAATTTCAAGCATTTCGAAGCTATTTTCTAGTGTTAACAATGTCTTTGCTATACAAATTGCGAAATCGAAGGTAGAGCAGGAGTGATTTACATTGCCCCGTACACGTATATAATCGGTATATGTTAACATCTACCGTGAAAAGGTATGCGAATTCAATGATGGATTATCTGAATCACTTCGACAATGTGAAAAATCAATGTTTGTCTCCAAGTACAATTAAGCAGAATTCACCATGTTTCTTTCGAAACGTTCCGATTTTATATTTACAAAATCGATCGGGCATCGGACAGCGATGAGATAGTTGATGAATACGAAATACAACAATTCAAATAACTTCATGTGATTATCAATGTATCAAATATCAAAGCTTTGGAAATTGAATATTTGGTATTATCGTCGGGGTACTATAAAGGTTGCCAAATGTCTCATCTTTAACAATTGGACCTAAACTTTTAATACCATATCTGGATAATAAACAGCTATCCGAATGTCTGAAGAAGAAGGTCCCAATGCTATATATCTTGGGGATACATTATATTGAACAATTGAGATCTGGTGAAATAAGTTTGTTATGTAAGGTATTTGTAAAAATCTTGAACACATCAAATGCAATGTGCAACATTTTCAAGATTTACTATCGATATTACGAGAATGGGTGAACTTGTTAGCCGTAAAGCTTGGAAGCACCGATGAAGAAACGTTCTCGTATGGTTCTGAAACAATGCATCAACATTGAAGACTTCCTTCGATTTTGAGGCAAGTTCCACTTTAGAAAGACGATAATATACCTCATTTAGGAGAAATAGAAGATTTTTCTTTTTTTTTTTCTTACTCAATAAAAAGAATTTCGAAGCTGATTTAGTTCTGATGGCTAATCAAGCCTTTTCATAAAATATCTATTTTTTGAGATATTGCTTGAGAACTTGTACATTTTCTTTAAGTTCCTGTAAATCAGGATGATCTGTTGGTAGTGTCTTTTCCGCCATATCTAGTGCTTCTTGGTAGAAAGGCAAGGCTTCCGTAAACTTCTGCATTTCATAATATAGAGAACCCATGTTATTCAATGTTGCCATTAAATCAGAATGGTTTTCAGGGAGGATCTTTCGACCAATTTCGACACTTTTATCATAAAATTCAATTGCTTTGCCATATTCTTGCATGTCCTGATAAACTGAAGCGATATTGTTGTACGTGTTAACTAAGCTAGGATGATCGGCTTTGAGCAACTTTTGTTTGATATCAAAAGATTTTTGATGATATTCAAGGGCTTTTTCAAACTCATGTTTGTGTGTATAGACTGCACCGATATTGTTGTAGAGCGTTGCTAGTTCAATCATTCTATCTGATGTAGTTGATTTTTGATAGATCTCCAATGATTTTCGGTACCAATCAAGAGATTCTGTATATTTTTCCATTTGATCATATAACTGACCAAGGTTGCTACAGATCACGGCTAAATCAGGATGATTCGACGGGAGCGATTGCTCACTGATATGCAATGATTTTTCATAGTATTCTAAAGCTTTCGAATAATTACCTGTTTTTTCATAAATAGTTCCAATGTTGCTGTATGCAATAGCTAAACTAGGATGATGCAACGGTAAAGATTTTTCTTTAATATCCAGAGCTTGACAATAATGTTCTAACGCTTTTGGAAAATCATCCATTATATCATACATGGATCCAATGTTGTTGAGACTAATGGCCAAGTCTGGATGATTCTGTGGACGAATTCTCTTGTAAATTTCGAAAGCTTTTTGATAATGTTCTAACGCTTTCGTATACTCGCCGATGTTGTCATAGGCCGAGCCCATGTTATTGTACGTGTGCGCAAAATTTGGATGATCTTGAGGGAGTGATTTTTCGAAAATTTCCAACGCCTTTTCAAAGAAGTTCAACGCTTTTGAATAGTCACCTGTTTGATCATAAACCACTGCCATGTTGCGGTAGACATTTGCCAAACTCGGATGGTGTTCGGAATGTGTTTCAAGAAAAATATCTAGACTCATTTCATAATAATCCCGTGCTTGTGTATAGTTTCCTATTTTGTCATAAAGTGTAGCAATATTATTATAAGTTTTAGCGAGTTCAAAATGCTTTGGTGGCAGGGATTTTTTCTGAATTTCCAGCGTCTTCTCATAGAATTCTAACGCTTTTGAAAATTCACATAAGTTGTCATGAACACTAGCAATGTTTCGATAAATTACTGTTAGACCGGGGTGATTCGGAGATGAAATTTGCTTTTTAACATCCAGTGATTTGTGATACATTTCCAGAGCTTTTGCATTTATCTGCATAGCTTCGTACAGTGAGCCCATATTATTATATAATGTAGCACATGCAGGATCATTCGCGGGTAAATTGTCACAGTAAACTTGTGAAATATTTTCATAGATTTCGAGGGCTTTAGAATATTCTCCCATCTTGAAATGCACAACACCAACATTGCTCTGCACAGCAGCTCTTATCACAGAATTTTCAGGAAACTGGCGAGAATACAGTTCGGTCGACTTCTCATAGAAGTCAAGAGCAGCTTTATAATAAGCTTCACCGCTAGATATCACTCCAAGCTGATGGTAGCAATATGCCAATCCTTCATGATTATCATTTGATAGTGAGTCCATCAATGTTAAATACACTTCCTTAGCTTCACTGAAATGTCCCATTTGGATAAGCAGTTGTCCCAACCGACTCCATCCTGTGCTTCCTTGTGTCTCCTCCTCGATTTGTTCTCCAAGTACTTTCAAGTCTGGATCTTCATCGTTCGTTAACACAATTTTCACTCGCCAAAGAACATCGTCCACCTGTTCGACACTTTCAATTCGAAACACACTGTGCATCGAAAACAACACTTCACCCTCAGAATCCTCATAGTAACTCATACTGCTCACCAAAGCAAACGCCGTCGACTTCACCGATGGATTGATCTTCATTACGAACAGCACAGCAATTGTATCCGGATCCTGTGGAGGTATCGGACAGAATGTGAGAGCTGTTTCACTCTCTACACTCGTTGACGTGAATGCATTGAACGACAACAGACCACCCACACTTTTACAAATATTCTCGAACTCACTTTTCACTACGCCCTGTCCTCGATATAACACTCCAGGACTCCAAACTGTAGACTGAAATGTATAGAGTTCGTTGAGTTGTTGATGCAGATCGTACAAAAAGAAGCTCATTTTGATGATGATGTTACTATCCATGAGCCGAAGAGCTTGATTGAGCATTTGGAAAAGGAAACAGCCTCTTGTGTACCACCGAATTGCTGAGTCAGGCTTATAGTTTTGTTCGAATTCGTCAACGATGCTTAGTTGGACTGGCTCAGCTTGATATTGCTCACGTAGAAACTGAACAAATCGTTCTTTTGTGTGTAGATGACGATCGATATCGAACAAGATTTGTTTGAGCAATCGAGAATACATGAACAATGGCTCCAATTCATTGAGATCATATTTTGAACAGTCGGTGGGTGAGATGACACTGATTGGAACTGAGTCATGATCATATTGTTTTGTCTTTTGATTGATCGATTGACAGATGTGAACAATTGTACGAAAATATCCTTTCAATTTAGGTGTAACGTCGTTGAGTTGTTGAGAAGGTGGTATTGCATCATTGCAAAGAACATAAATGGAATAGAGCTGAGGTATGTCGTGAACGAGAGGGATGAGCTGCTGTGCGAGTGGATATGGTAGTATGATGAATACTTTGGTGTGTTGTAAATCTGTACAAAAATCGATGCATTGGTCAGGATCGTTGTGTAGCTCGATGGTATCTATGATTTCTGATGTTTGTGTGAGTAAATACTTATATTCGTCGTTATCTATATTCATATTCGGATCCAACCAGAGAAGAGCAATATTTCGAAGAATATGACGGCGACGAATAGGTCGTACAATTCTGGTTTCACCCTCTATGCAATTCATCCGTAAAACTTTCTGCGTCTGATGAATGCAAAAAAGCGAAACTAATGCAAAGTTGACATTTAATCTACAAGAAAGAAAAAAGAATGCTTTTTTGTGTTTCTCTTCTGATGTCATAGAAGAAAACAACTTTTTGAAGTAGAGAACAGATCAACAGTCGTAGTTATTAAGTTGGAAAAAGCCTACTGATATCAAAGTCATTCTTTATTTGCTTTCGAGCGCTATATCTTGTCTGGCGAATAATACGTTAAATAAATCAATTGATGACATTGTGAGAATTTCATTTTCTCCATTGTCTATTCTATTCTGTATAATTTCAATGTTTGATCAAGTTTCTTAGTATCTATTTGTTGTAACAATATAATGAGTCATAGAAAGCCGGGTTATAAAATCATGCAAAAGCACAAATATGTATTTGAATTGGTATTGCGTTCGATTACAATCTATACATTTTGATCTTTTTGTCAATTCAAAAATGCTAATTTTATTCCATAGATAAGTAATACAAAAGTATATGCTGTCATATACCGATTTAATCCTATGAAAACACCATCCAAATCTTGTCCCAAAGCATCACCTTCGAAATCGAAGGGAAACAGCTGTTTGAAAGTAATTAAATTACTCCTTGCTGCTTTTCCTTCGGTTGTTTTTGGGGTATTTACAATCGTTTTCACGATTCAACAACATATAACAGGTATTGAAAATCGCAAACAAGATCAAAAGCAAGCTGATGAACAAAACATTCGTTCAACTTTCGAAAACTACATTGACGACATTTCCAGTCTTTTACTTGACGAAAAATTTAATCGTAGTAATTCCGAGCATTTGTTGCATATTCGTGTGAAAACCTTGACTACTCTTCGTAATGTTGACATTAATCGAAAACGAGATATGATCTTGTTTCTTTATGAAAGTCGACTGTTACGAAATGATGTTCCGTGTAATGAACGACTTTCGTTGCAAGATGCTGATTTAGACAAACTAACATTCCAAGGTTCATCGTCGAATCCTATTCAACTTGACAATCTATACTTACCGGGAGTTTATCTATCGAACGCAGTTTTTCATTGGTGTATATTAG